ATCTATAATAGCAGGTTACCAAGAACTGTTAACTACATCACATTTACAGCAACTTATTCATCCTAGTGTTAGCTGACCTTGAAAGGAATTCAGTTTATTGGAATGTATTTCTGAATAACAAGTTAAGAAAATTCACTAGTTAACTAAAGACTCAAAACAACTGACACTTTTACTTAAAAACCGTTTTGTTATTATTTTGATAAATTTAGTTACAGTATTGATAAACAAAGTATCACGTTTTCAATAATTAATATTTTAAATTACAATCCATAACTGCAAGGTTGTGTCATTGACCAAAATACAACGTTGAGTCAACGTGGCTGGATCAACGTTGATTTTACCTTGAATTTAGGTAGATCAACGGCAATTCAACGTTTCAACCTGTTTTCAACGTTGATCCAACGCAAATATGCCTGCTGGGTATGTAAGACGTTTTATGTAAATAATGATTGATAACGTTGCTGAAAATGGAAATAAAAGCTCCCAATGTGGTGAACAGAAAGGATATTTTGAATGATGTCATGTTTGAAATACCCTAGGTTCTAGATTCCGGTATCGCCAGCTGGATCTTGATTTCATATATAACCCACATGAGTGCACAATACCAGGCTCTATCGACCACCGACAAGCTGTGGTCGTTCTTCTTCAAAATTTTGCCTAGGGCGCTTCCATATTTGGAAGTCACACGTCACAGATGTGTCCGCCTGGATCCATATTTGGAAGTCATAAGTCTCGTACGTCACAGCTTTGCCCGCCTGGAGCTGCCTTTCCCGCTTTGCGCTGATGTTATCTCGTGCAGACGAGACAAGAAGCAAAGTGGCTGACGCGGAGTTAGAAGTTTGAATTAAAAATATCTTGAAATCAAAGGTCAGTGCCACAATACAAGCAACATTCTGCTTTAAAAACTGATTTTGGTGTAGCCATTGCGCAGCCCTTATATAGTGGTACCGGGCATACAGTGTAGCTGTCAAACTTGGCACACGGCAAGCACGTGTGTCTATGTCTCCAGGGGCAATTGTTTTTTTGATAAGCAAAAAATACAGAACCATTGGATATATCTTTTCTTTTCGAATATCTTTTCTTTTCTTAAATACAGTAAATTAAATTACAGAAATCAGAATCAAATCTGTTTTACGTTTCATTTTGGTTTAATGACATTCAGCTGCAGATTCACTGCGGAGCAGTTCTTTTTGATTAACGGAAGTCGTACACTGTCGCTGTTCTTCAGAGTTCACTGTTGAAGCCCGATTCACAGTGATCTGACACTCAGGGCAGTTTGAAATAAATAGTTATTTCCCAATGGTTTACAAGATATAATAAAATTCTCTGTTACCTACACTGTTTTGAATAAAACCGGCTTTAGATTACCTCCAGAAAAAAGATGGCTCGTTTCCAAAGATATCGGGCACGGCAATATTTTTCTGAGTTGATTGAAGTGAAAATAAAGATGTATTTATAAGACATATATTGGAAAACGTTTGCGCTCAGACGAGTCATGGACGTTAATTTATCAGCTTCTCTGTTTTCTATAAGAACAGATCTGGATACAGCAGTAAAATATCGCTCGTATCTGAGACATATTATCTCTGTTCTGACAACTATTTTCGCACAATATACATACCAAAAAGTCTTAAAGTCTTTCATTTCTTTGCCAGCCAGATCAGACACTTTAAAAGTTATTTGCTGTTTGCAGGGTTTAGGGTAAAAAAACAAGGGATTGCAGATGATACTATAAGTAATTAATGTAATATAGAGAGGGTGCCAAAATGTTACACCACCTGTGTGCATAGCGGGCTTTCTGACATTCGTAAAAAAAGTGATTTGCGGTTAATTGCTCTCATATTGAACTTTCAACAATGTGCATTATAAATAGTGAAACCCCCTCCTTGCTGTCAAGTTGCTACTGGAGTTCACAAATGAACAAAGAAAAGTTGTTTCTCTGAGAAAGGAGTGTGTGGATATCCCCCAGATAGCCACAAGATATCGTGTTTGATCAGACTGTATGCGGTGTTTACAGAAAGATGGGGCTCGCTGGTGATGCCCGTAAGTCACCACGTAGTGGCGGAAGAAGACCAGTGCCAGAGATGACATGCGTGATTTTATGCTGTCAAGACTCATGGAATTTGAACCGTGCAGCGACTTAGCGCCTCATTTCTGCTGTTCTTTTTTGAGATATGGTCACAGTAGAATGCTACTACTGGAGAGTATACCCCTCGTCCGCAGATTAAATCGGAGCAGATTTGAGGCATAGTTACAGTGATTGCAGTTAATATCTACTGCTTTTTTCGTGTGGAGAGCGCTGTCAATTTATCATGCGAAATAAATAAAAAACCGCATTGAGATTGATGCATAATTGAATACCCGTGTTGAAAAAGTGGCACAGCACAGCACGGCATTCGTAAAGACTACATGAAGCAGCTATCATAAAACGAGAGCACTAACATAAAACAAAAACAGAATTTTAGCAGGTTTATAAAGGCTGGATCAGAAGGTGAAGGCTGCTTATTGTGTGTTGTAATGTACTAATACTGCATCAGTTGATCTTGGCCATGTCAGTGCGGATATTTTTACTCGCTGTGGTAATGTTTTATTTCCTATGCTCTGCTGTATATTTGTTTCCACGTCTTATGGGAATTCATACATTGCCTCCTAATCGATTGCCACCACCTCCACTTCAAAGTGACTTTGAAGGTAAGGCGATTAAATTTTGTCGGCTCGTGCATTCATTTTTAAATTAAAGTGCCAGTCTTATTTTGACTGTTATCATATCAAACGTGATTGAATCTAATCACTTTTGATATTTCATTGATGACACTAGTGAATGTCAAACCTATCTGAAGTCTTCAGAAGACAAATGTATTTTGTAGCGTTGGAAAATCGTTAATTTCGTTTCCTTTTTTTTTTTTTAAACTCCACGTGATCTTACTTATGTAGCAGTGCAGTTTATCAATGTGTCGTGCGCTGTGTTATACAGTTGTCGACTCTATCATATGTCACAAGTGTAAAAAGAACATTGGTGTTTTGTCTGTAATTATTACAAATATATCGCCCAAAGAGCAAAAATTCTGTAGTTTGATTGATTAAATGGATTCTGGTATTCATGTTGTGTACCTTTGGAGTATACATAGTTACCTGGCAGTTTCAAGCGAAAGACATGGGCCGTATGATATTTATAGGCTACCTCGTTTTTTTGCACCAATCCGATGGCGTAATTTACGTCTGTTGAATGTCAAATCGAGACTCCATTCTGGATGAGAATATGTCGTTTGCAGCCAGCTTGAAATGTGAATAAATATTACATTAACAGCGAAGTATGTTTCTGTGTACTGAATAAAAAAATTTGTCACACTTTGTTTGTTTCAGTAATACGGGTCCGAACTTCAGTTAGTTACCCTTTGGGTATATGGCAACACAAACCGTTTAATCCCGAACAGAAATATAAACAACCCAAAAACGAATGAAGGAGCAGAAAATGAAGATACGAAGAAAAAATATATCAGATGATTTGCTAGAGAATATAGAGTTTAGAGTTTATTTCACTGTAACATATGCATCCACTTGTGTGGATGAAAATGACAATATGAATACAATTTTTGTGAATATGCTATAAAAAAAAGTTTCTATAACTACTATTACTCAATTGCCGATGAGTGCAGCACTATCTTGTAGATCCCTCCTAGCAAAAGTGTTTTGTAAATACCTTATATAATATTGTTTGCAGGTCGTTGTATAGGGGGCATGTTGTGATCAATTTTGTCTTTAGAACAGTAATGGCGTATTCTGTCAGTCCAAGGAGTGTTATTGTATCTGCCTGTTTCAATGTGGAGTTTATGCCCACTGGTGCGAAAACGGCTTAGGTTTTTTCTTTTATCAGTATCATGAAGAAGGTCTAGATATTTTTCTTTTTTAAATGTGTTTTTGAATTGGCAATATACTCTGGATTTGGATTTGTCCTCAAGCTCACTGTGCCAGTTTTGTATGTACCCACTGATGATGCTTTCACTGAATATACTTAGAAAATTTATGTCAGGATTTTGTTTTAGCCGTAGATCTCCAAATCCGTTTTCAAACAAGAGTTTCATAATACCTTCACTCAATGACAGGTTATCATCATTCAGATTTGACAGGCTTTTTGTTGAGGGTAAATTGTAATAATGTAATTCCTCTAGGTATGCTTGTTTGAGTAGGTTGTTTTGGTCCGTGCGTAATATTTTGAGCCAAACTTTTATTAATTGTATATTGATTTTTATGTTTTTAATATAAGATCACCTGTACCTAGCTTGTGTCCTTTTCAAACTGTATACAGCGGCGGATTTAGAGCGGGTTTCAGGGGGGACCTGACACCCTCTCTCCCTTATATATCTGGTCCCTCTTGAAATTTGAAGTTTTAACTTGCTGAATAATAGTTCTAAACCGTACCAAACGGCACCATTCGCCCTCTAAAATGCCAAAAAAATTGAGGACCCTTCAGTGGGTCCCGAACCCCACTCCAATGGG